AGTAGGCCGAGCGCAAGACCCCAATCTTCCTAGTGTTACCGAAATTTCGTTGCAGTTGTAAATTTGATCCGCTATATGATGCAGTAGTTTGTTTTCATCTCTGGCCTAATAAAAGTGCTGCAAGAAACATTGCGTAAAATTTTATGTTCATGGGATTGTCAAGCATCGCAAATGGACTGCACCTCAGATTGCTTTCGGTGTCTATAAATCAGAAAAATGTCGTAGCTTTGTGTACGACAATAGTCGCAATCTGCTCGCATAATCCTGGGCGACATCCGCATCTTGCGTACCCACTGACATTTTGCCAAATTTCGTCTGAAGCTTTCTTTCACCTATCTTCTGCGCCCCGTGTGCAAAGCACGTGTATTTTTGAGGAAATTTCGTCTAAACTTCAAATTTTTAGAGTTTTCAGCGATGTGCATCATAGGTCGCAATATATGTTCGAATAGCTTTTATGAGTTTAAGGACAGTCGAATTACTATTGAAGTTACGGCTTCCGCAGTCGCCCCCCCCTGACTTTGATGTCTTGCGGTTTGGACTGTCAAACTACCTAGAACACGATGGTGTAGAATGTCAGTTCATACTGTTCGAAAATAACTCGACAGGTGCCAAAGTTAGTACATAATACTGCATCTATTAACACTTATCCTTTACCGTTTTGCCTTTACTATGGAAGTTTGAAGTTCAATTTCATGAAATGTCCCCCTCTGTGGTTTTGATAACAGACTGCTAGTCAACCCCCATCATCTTTTCATCATCTTTGTCTTTCATTATCAGCTTTATCGCGTTTCGCAATCAGGATAGAACGTTTCATAAAAATGAGTCAGCGACCACCGGGCATACGGCTTGCACAAAATGATAACTACTGTTTTTTTTCAGCACAGCTTTGTCAGAAGTACGTGGTCAGAGGTGTACTTAAAGCTCTTTCCCGAGCCAAAGATGTGTTTTCCGATTCCAGAAACTTGGAATGCATCGCGATGATTTGTGACATGGACCTGTTCTCTCAAATCCATAAAAATAGTCGACATCACAGGCTCTCAGGCATGACAGCACACGTGCTGGATTCGCCAGCGGTCACTGGTGTTTTGGGCAGCACTTCCGGCTTCTGTACGGAGAAGTCTCTTCTTGACATTTTCGACTTATTCGGCTGCGTAGACTTCGCCCAATGACATTTAAGGCACATTGTTTCTAGGCTGCAATAAACCATCTCTAATAAGTGAATTCGGTTTCATTTTCCGAAAAGCATCGGACTAATGGCTATTCTGTGCAAAAGGGAGTGCACATGCTGGTAACTTGACATTATTCTTTGAAAACGATCCTGTCCGACGGACTATGGTACATGTGTTCACCTGCATGTGGCACGTCTATTAAAACTCACTTCTTGCCTGTTCACTTTCAGATGATTGTGCAAAGGGGCATATTCGTTGTTTCAAAGGCGTGGAATCGGATTTTTGGAGTAACTCAGCCCCAATTAGTAACTCACTGGACGTTTATTGATTTCTCTACTATTCTTCATACGTCTGGAATAGTTAGATTTCTAAAGAGACTTACCAACAGCGTAGGCAGAGTTTAGATATATTCGCGGTATAAATAGAACTTTGGACTGGTACATTTGATGAATGATCATTGTTCTCTTATGTGAGTAGTCCTTTAGAATGAATATGCCGTCAATAATACCACAAGAAAGAATTTTGTAAATAGATGCAAATACTCAATATAACAATCAATTTGTCCGTTGATATATATCATTTGCAGCAATATACTATATTTTACCGTCGTTGAGAGCACACCCGGTCATTTTACTCCAAATCTGCATATGATGTTTTCGTATTGCCTACACGATCAGGATCAACTGTTCGTCGATTGAAACTCGGTTTCAGGACCACCAAACTTTAGGATAGTTTTCCGGGAAGTAAATAGTTTCACCCAGTTCAGTACAGTTTTTTTAGATCCTACAAAGTAAATGGTTTGTTTTTATAAGCATTGGTTAAATGCGCCTGGTTATTTAATAAGAGTGCGATATAAAGCTCATACCTTTACATGTTTTGTACTAAAGTAGCCTACAATAAGATCAAAGATGCATGCTAAAGGCCAGAATAAGTAAGCTGTATAAGACCCTCAAAGAAATTTCTCAACATTCTCGATCCATATGTGACTGCAATAAGAAAAAAATGACGGCGATGAATAAGTCTGTTCTACTTCTGTTAAAGATTCCTCCTAACACCAGTCAAATGTGTCTTGGGGGCTGAAGTTGTGCTCAGACCTTCCGTTAGCGGGTCCTGGAACTCAGGTCTCTGTAGAAAAGCCATAAACGTTTCGAGAAGCCTGATCACATTTTCCATTCTCGTACTTACGAATTTCCCCCCCTTCCTCCTCCTCATCCTCACCCTCTTCCACCGCCTCACCGACAGCGACCTCCATTTTCGCTGATTTGGGATCTGACGTGCCTAAAATACTAACCGGTTTAGTTGAATTTGAGATGTTTGTGTGTATTTGACTGTCGCCCACTGAACATATACAGATGAGAAGAAACAGGCTCACTGGCAAATCTATCTGAAATTCTATCAACCAACTGCGAAATCTGAGTTAACGTAAGTATGGGAGTTGCGTGATTGTTTATGTGGTAGGTAAGTTCTGCAGAGTGCAGATAAAATCTGCAGAGGGCAGAGAGTTCTGTTTGCGCTAAAGTATATCGTAGATGTGTTTTGACTGCGCTACTTTGCATTTACTTTAAAACTTAGTTTATCAAGTTTTTGAAATTTGCCAATTCAGCACGCCTAAGGTAAACTTTTTATATTATCTGACTGTAGGTTTAGAAATGAAATTAGTCCGCCAAACTCTCCACATTCTTGCACATCCTGTCACAACAGAAAACTCAGTGAACGCCCTGGGAAGTAAACAAAATTTCCATCTTTAGGTTTTTCCAGCACCACCGTTTGATTAGTTCAGCAGCTAGACAGGACGTGCGTCAGTTCCAGTAAACCAAATGGTTGACGTTGTTGATTTAATTGTGCTTAAACTATAGGAAGGTCCTTCAGCAGTGGAGCAGAGAAGCGTCCATCGGCCAAAAACATTCGTCCCTTTGGCGCAGTCCGCATACTGAAAAGTGGTTTAGCCAATTATGGATGACAATAACTGCAACCAAATATTTCGTCTTCCAGGTTAGTCGTATGCCTAAATATCGCACAGACGGGACCAGAAATGGTAAGTCATGGAAGTTAAATCACGGGTTACTGCTTATCAAACTATCGACGACACTGATTTAATGGATTCAAGTAGCCACGAATCTACCAGATCTCTGTCCGGTTATCAACTGTCAGGTTCTTTACAGTCGTTTTCAGTTGGTGTCCCACTCTGAAATAACCAGGACTGTCGGATCCAACACTGCTCAAGTCGCACTTATCTATATGCATCGAAAATTTTAACTGACAACCAGAGCCACCTTATCAAGTCCGGGCAGGATACGGAAGAGTGACGATGAGAACGAGTTCCACATCGGATACACAGAGTGCTTGACCAAAACGTTTTAAATGATTCGGAAAGGCGGTTGTGATGTCTCTGATGTCTCTGTAGAGAAGCAGCATTGTTCGCCGTACTACATGCGCTGGGACATCTTCCCAAGCCTCCCAGACAACAGCCTCAGGTATCTCATGAATCTCGGTCAGTATTCTATTCTCACTCGCTCCCTTGATGTTTTTTAGGAATACGATTATTGCTCTAATATTGACAGCAGATGACCACAGGTAGTCATTGTCATAGGAGCGCTGCAGGGTCAGCAGGGGTAAAGGATTTGTCACACACATACAGAGATCGTTGGTCTAGTAACTGGACTTTAGAAGATTACAGGCAGCCTCCTTCACAATACGCAGATACCACGATTTTATAAGGCTTGATCTTTACCCTTGGACAAATATTTCTCGATGAGTATTTCTAGGGCCTACCTGAGTTTTGTGTAAGGGTACGACTGATCTGGAGAATGTTTTGCTTCACGTCTGCATTTCCGGATCTATCTATACGTCTCCGCACAGCTTCCGAAAGACTGGATTGCGGGTGGAGTCCGGGAGTTGAGCATGTATCTCTATCGAGTTTGTGTAGGTAGTAAAGTACTAGATAAACTTTAGCCTATTCCGCCGGTGACCTATTCGAATGCCATAGTACAGGTTGTGTAGAGCACACGGGCCGTCCCAGAATGGTTGAGCCAGCGTAACATGATGGCCCAGTCACTCCTGCATCCAGTATGCGCAAACGTAGCCGCAGTCTGGCCTCCGTAGCTGTCAGCGTAATTATCACAGGGAAGTTGTAAACAGAGCGAGATTGCACATGAGGTTTTTGTTGGCCGTTGCATCCACTGATTCAGCCAATCGTGATCACCTCCAATAGGTGAGTAAAAAATGAACAAAATCACATGGGGAGCGATCAGCAGATTCTAAAACATCTTAAGTTACATTATTTTGCCCGCGCGCATGTGGACATTGTTGTAAGCCCAGTTATAGGATATTCCTTGTCTGCTGGAAATTCGTTTACCTGATGTCAGGCTCAACTATGCTGCAATTGCCATGATCCGACATATGCCACACCCACTACACTGGCGCATCTGACTACCTTAGCAGAAATGACATTTTGCACCTGAAGGTGAACAAGACGTCGATGGTACGCAGATCTATCTCCCACGCATTTTACGTGTGCGAAAAGGAATCGCAATCATTTAATTACCTGGGATTTATGTTTGTATACTTAAGTTTAGTGTAACTCAATGGTGAATAATAGTAGCATGACCACCGTAATTGAATTCCGTCTTCCATATTTCTTCATGGTATAAAAGTTGTCTCAGAAAATTGTAAGGCTTGCATTGGCATTTGACATCCAATTTGACAGTGTTGACCTACCTCCGCATTTCCCTGAGAATACTCGACCGACTTGACTAACAGCTAGTGTCAATAATCGAAACGCTCCCCTTCGACCGGATATTCAGATGACTTAAAGGTTGTCGCAAATATCTTCTAGATTTGTGTGGACAAGTGCTGGATAGATGTGGTCCTTAGACTTGATTTTGCGTCGATCGAATACACCAGTGGCGTGAGAAACCACACTGCTGTCAAAAGTTCGGAAAATTCATGGTACGCAAAAGTCAGCTGCTGCTGCTGCTGCTGCTGCCGCTGCTGCTGCTGCTGCTGCTGCTGCTGCTGCTGCTGCTGCTGCTGCTGCTGCTGCTACGGCGTATAAAAAGAACGAAGAACAATCGTATGCGACTTCATCACATTGCGTAGTCCCTTTAACATGGAAAAATAAGATGAAATGTTCGGTTGATTCTCAAGACGATTATTTTTATACGCATTAAAGTCACTTAGGGGACACATGTACTCAGATCGGCGTTGTGAATAAGCCACACCAGGGCAGAACGTGTGCGTCCGAAGTGCACTGTATGTTGCCCACACTGAGTCTAGACACCAGGTCACATGCGCCTGACAGAGAAGCGGTCGAGGTCACAGACGCATGGTCACAGCGCCGGGATGCTGATTTGCCACCCGCCAGTCTACGCCATTTCCCAGTGCTGTATACTTCACCGTGTCTCCTAGGGCTGCCCGCATGCACTGTCTCTAGTGTCCGGTACACGTCCCGACTACAGCCAATCTCGTTTTACATACAGTAGATGTGCTAACTCATGAATGTCAACCAAAATTTCGAAATGCGTTCTCGTTTCGAAAAGATAAATTAAGTAGTGTTGTAAAACTGGTCATGATGCAGCATAAGTCTATGATGGTCCAGTTACCTCAGGGTGTCGGCTTTCGAAAGACTTTATTTTCGGCTGCATGCGAGATCTGCACTCTGCAAAAAATGACTACTTATGTAGCATGCAATTTTCTCATTGATTTTCGATGCCCTTGAAAATTCAATTATATTTCATGGAAAACATGCATAAAAATATTCATTCTTTTACTTATTCGGTAGAAAATCACGTCTTCTTCCAATTTCATACTCAAAAGAACAGTATAATTCGGTTTTAAAAAAGTTTCCAATTGTGAGATTTTTAATACCGTTAAATGGCCGTTCATTAAACGTCATGTATCTGCTTTTAGGAATGTGGCTTGTAAAGTTAACAATATTGCTCAAATCCACTGCTTACTTTTATGAAACCCATATGGTATCCTCTTAACACCGTAGAGAAATGCATGCAATATTGTTAACTTTACAAGCCACATTCGTAAATGCAGATACATGACGTTTCATGAACGGCCATTTAACGGTATTAAAAAATCTCACAATTAGAAACTTTTTTAAAATCGAATTATACTCTTCTTTTGAGTATGAAATTGGAAGAAGACGTGATTTTCTACCGAATAAGTAAAAGATTGAATATTTTTATGCATGTTTTCCATGAAATATAATTGAATTTTCAAGGGAATCCAAAATCAAGGAGAAAATTGCATGCTACATAAGTAGCCCTTTTTTGCAGAGCATAGATCTCGCAAGCAGCCGAAAATACGTTCTTTCGAAAGCCGACACCCTGAGGTAACTGGATCATTATAGATTTATGCTGTATCATTATTGGTTTTACAACACTACTTAATTTATCTTTTCGAAACGAGAACGCATTTCGAAATGTTGGTTGACATTTCATGAGTTAGCACATCTACTCTACATAATATGAAAAATGGCATATCTAACCAAATATTTAAGCGCCCTGCCTTCAAATTACAAATCACTATTCTAATTAGCCATAGTCGCCTATCATTAGAGCTTGATATATCCCCTTAGCCGGTATAAATGAGGTAGTGGAAGGGAAGTGAGAACAAGCTCCTGAAATTCTACGAAAATAACTTCAGCGTTTAACTTTATGTGCGACATAAATGCCAACAAAAGTTTGGTAAATATAGCACAGGATTCTGGCACTATTTTTCCATTGGCACGATGTCTGCACGTTTACTGCTGCTTTCAAAATATGTTAAGTATTTCCTCTGCATTCTAACATTTAAAAAGGGCACTAGGTGGACTCTTTTCAGTGACAGAAAAATATTTAATTTTATTTGTTGAAAGGTATACAGTATCCGAGTTTGAAAATCCAATCGCAAGTGCAACAGGAGGCCTGTGATTAAAATAACACAAGAATTGATGAGCTTTTAAATATTTAAAACTATGTCTTTTCGAGCGCAGGACCCGAAGAAGACACAATTTCCTACCGAAGGATGTCTAAGTAGGGCCTTTTCTGTACACGATTTTAGTAAAATAAAATTCAACTAATGCGGGTATCGTACCCCAACGAGGAAAATCAAAATACGTAAACAGGCGTTTTTAACTGGTGTAATTGTTCAGGTTACTGCCATGCCATTTATCTAATGGCCAATGTCGTGGCGTGCGTGTACCACCTTCGGACAATTTTGTATTTCAACCTATCTAACGCAAACTATGCTTCAGAGCCTTCTGCGCTTCCTTCAACAACCCTCTCCATGGTAACACATTCATTACACCCCCGCCTCTCTCTGTAGCCCTGACGATGCAATAGTCTTGTTTACTTTCAACCACGCAAGTGCTATACTCTTCTCATTAATTTGCGCAGCAGTATTTGATTTATTAGCGTCGTCAGCGCAATCCACATGCGACCAAAATATATTAAGCCTTGTTCTAGTCCCGATTCCAGAGCCAGGTTTAGAATGTTCAACGGGGGGTTATTTGACTAGCCTGCATTCTGTTATTTGCTTTTACTTCCCCGGAAGCCTACTCCCATACTCTACATCCGAAGATAGCGGTAGCGGATAGGACCGATTCTCAAGCTCGTATGACACATTCAGTTTATTGCGAATAATTTCGGACCACCGGAGTGTGGACTACCTCAAAACAGACGACTGTGAGGACTCAAAACTGAGGAAAGAGGTATATGTGATATTTAATGAAACTTGGCAGTTTGCAGTCTGAACGTTGCAATTTGCACGCGCAATGGTGAATTACGTATTTCCTCGGATACATTTGTGAAATATTTTTCACAATTCAATTTAAATCAGCATTGATATCGCTTCACGACTGATTTCAATTTTCCAGTTGAACACCGCTCTACGGGTGGCTAATATACATTAGTATTTAACGAAGAGAAGATCCGCGGCAAAGCACCTTTTGTCTAGAGCGAAACCTTAATCTCGGGGTATTTGGTAAAATTTGCTAGATTTGGGCTTTCTTGAGGCAAGTCACCACCTACCATTCTCCTCCCAGTGGGCCACATTAACGATAGGGGGCAAAAATGTTTGTCTCAGACTACATAACCTTTCTCAGCTTTTATTTAGAAAAACGTAAAGATTTGAAAGAACCCGCCGTCTGTCTGAGTTGCGGCTTCAATTGAACATCCTACATTAGGACACGGAAAAAGGCCCCTCAAAACTTTAAGCCCACATCCAGCAGGCTGAATTAGGAGAGTTTGGACTAGGTTTTGAGTTAAAGTTAGGGCACGGGAATAGGTACCCCAAGCGCAAGGCCGCCTGTAATCTTCGGGGGTCTCTGTCACCGTGTCTGATCAATAATGCAGCTGCAAATTTGGATAACAGTCATTTGCCTAACCGAAAGCCATAGACCTGTGTTTTAACCCCTGGCAACAAGCGGGAATACTTCTATTAAAAGTGTACGTAGGCGACTTGTTTGTAAGGTCTGTGTGGGAGGAGACCAGACTAGATGTAACTTGTGATCCTTACTGTGCTTCATAAGCTTTTTCTCTGTTATCGAAAATTGCGAAATTGGCATACATTCTCAATCTTGTGTAAATCACTCGGGATAGTGATTAATCAAAGTGAATTGACCGAAATTCGCAAAACTGTTTTTTCTAACTTGTCGAGTATTCAAGCCAGAAACGTCTAAGTCTTCTCGTCCTAATAACATGTTCATTCAAATAGTTTATTTTACGATCTAACTGCAGAAATAATATGCCATAATTCTCTTTGGGTCAATAGTTATCATCCTTTAGCAATTTGTAAGGGGGGCTGCATTACATTAATTGCATCACCTTCCGAATTTTATATCTGACTTTAAATCAAAAAAACTGACGGTAACCCACGAGAGTTCGACCATCGTGTCGGTCGATGTGCACATTGCTCTCCACAGTAGGCTGAAAGCAAAAACGATGACTTGCAAGTAAGTTACTTGGAAGTATTAGTAGTAGACTGGCGCTGCATCTACCATACTCTCTCCTCCTCCCACACCTGGGTATGCCGTTACGATCAAGTCAATAAAATCGGAGATGGGAGAGGCCTCAGGTGACGGTCACAGCCTAAACCCGCGCCTAAGTGAACTAACACACCCCCTGGTCCACAAAAACACCTGAATAGGATTTTAAACGACAACAACAAAAATATGGGTCGACTGGTACCCCAGTGGGGGCGACGTGAGTTTGCAGATGGGGCTGACACCGCATCCCGAATTTTGTCGGTTCTTATGGATGCGCATTCCCGAGAACGCCTGCCTGAATCCAATGTAGTCCCCCTGTTGGTCATCGCATCTATCGCATCACTCGTTTTAGGGGCCAAATAATCGAACATTTTTGTCCTTTTAGCTTATCGTTGTTACTTTTGTTTTTTATGACACCCAGAAGACTATTTGGAAAGCGCATGTTTGCTTCCGATAAATGTTTACCAGGTAAGTACATTTATATGACAATGGGCTCAGTTAAAAATGTGTGTAATAAGTGGAATCGAGTAATTTTCATCTTTTCACACAAGTACGTGGCGAGAAATATAGGGGGATAATAAGAAACAGCAAAGCATAAGTTTAGTCAGGTGGTGATTGATGTGGATGACAGAGAGTTAGAATGATCCATGTCGAGGGAGAGGGGTTGAGGACACAGAGATGTGTATCGGGCAACCGAAGTATGACTATTCCTAAATGCCGAATTTCTCAAAATCCAACCGTGAGCATACGACCGACTTGCGCAACTTGAGTTCAGCCATTTCTGCTGTTATCAGCAGATACTGAACAGTTTGGTTTAGGATAGTTCCATCGGACTTTATATTTTACTTGGAAAGCCTTGTTGGAGTTCAATACCTGTAATCAGTAATATGTTGGAGGAAGACAAGGCTTATGCTATTAATTTCGCCTTTTCGTTTAACGCAGCGCCACATTTATGCACTATTGTAAACACTTGCATTGAGATTTAACATTACTTCTAGGAAAAAAATTGAAAGTATCCTACAGTTTCCTATGTACTAAATCCTAGACCCCTTTTACTCTGAGCCACCTATTGTCACCTTTCTTTTATATCCATTCAATCAAATATGTATCTGTAAGATAAACGTTTTCTTGCCATGACAGAATTTTGCACAGATCGAGCATTCTGTCGTAAAACTGGTAGGTTAGATCGACTGCTGGCTATTGCAGCACTGCGACTGCATCGCTAAAGCATATACTCATCATCTTTTAGTTGCTACATCATAGCGTATTGACGCATTCTAGAGGCCACGACAGCAAGTCCCGAGTTTCGGCAATCAAAATAATGGCACTTTTCATAAAGTGGACAATAACATATCTAATATTCAACAGTACATGATACTCTTCCCACTGGAAATATCAAGTTTGATGAACGTATGTTTCGAGTTATTCGTCGTCAGCCCTGTGAGATAGTATACGAAGGTCGCGATGGATCCGCACTCACTACAGACTACTTCACGCGCAGGTCGCCGGGCCTTCTCCTCCTTGCTGTGGAGCAGGCACGGAGGACAACGTCGGCAACTACGGCCGAACTGTCGTGGGTGTATGTGTATGCGCCCCCAAACACGTCACGCGGTAGATACGTTGGACCCCCATGGTGGTCATATCGGATTCTGGGGGGGTTTTATCGGAATGCGGGGGTGTAGGGGTGTCAGCGGTTGGTTCACGTGATGGTCGTGGTGGTCGCTCACATGTTTGCAGGTGAGACTACGCCTAGCGTTCACTTGCTGGCACTCAACTGTCACCTGTGGCTCCACGTAGATGGGATCTGCTCAGCGGGGCATCAACGATCGCCTGATGAGCCTCCGCCTGCCTCTCTGGGGAGGCAAATTCGCCACCGTCATCAGCGTCTACGCTCCGACGATGACCAACCCCGACGCCATCAGAGACAAATTCTACGAGGACCTGCACGCCCTCTTGGCGACTGTGTCGAAGGCGGAGAAGTTGATTGTCCTTGGTGATTTCAACGCCCGCGTCGGCACAGACCATGCTGCCTGGAGAAGAGTGCTGGGTCCCCATGGGCTCCGCGGCTCAAACGACAATGGTCTGCTGCTTCTCCGCACGTGCGCAGAACACCGCCTCATCCTAACGAACACGTTCTTGTGTCTGCCGGAGCAAGAGAAGGCCACCTGGAGGCATCCTCGGTCGCGTCAGTGGCACCTGCTGGACTACGTCCTCGTCCGGAGGCGAGATCAGCGGGACGTGCTGGTGACAAAGGCGATCGCGGGCGCTGACGGGTGGACCGACCATCGCCTCGTCATCTCGAATATTTGTATTCGCCTACAGCATCGCAGGAGACCACAAGGTGAGCGACCCCCAGGTAAGCTGAATGTTGCCTTGTTGTCTTTGCCCGCTCACCATCTTCATTTCAGCAATCAGCTAGCTCAAAGGCTAGACAACCTTCCAAACACTGCCGCCGACGACGCCGCCGCTGTCGAGAACGCCTCTGCGGAGAACCGCTGGCGTCAACTGCGAGACACGGTCCAGTCGACGGCGCTCGCCGTCCTCGGTCGCGCTCCCCGCCAACACCAGGACTGGTTCGACGACAACGACACCGCCATCAGAAATCTGCTAGCTGAGAAGAACCGCCTACACAAAGCCTACGTAGATCACCCCACTGATGCCAACAAAGCTGCCTTCTACCGCAGTCGCCGCCAACTTCAGCAACGACTGCGCGAGATGCAGGACGCCTGGACTGCTCGCAAAGCTGAGGAGATCCAAGGCTACGCGGACCGCAACGAATGGAAGAACTTCTTCTCCGCGATCAAAGCTGTCTACGGTCCGCCGACGAAGGCCACTGCTCCTCTCCTCAGCGCCGACGGCAGCACTCTCCTGACTGAGAAGACGCAAATCCTACAGCGATGGGCCGAGCATTTCCGAGGCGTCCTCAACCGCCCCTCCGTCATCTCCGACGCCGCCATCGAGCGTTTGCCGCAAGTGGAGACCAACGTGGACCTCGACCTCCCGCCATCTCTCCAGGAGACCATCGGGGCCGTGCAGCAGCTCTCCAGCGGGAAAGCACCCGGATCGGACGCAATCCCTGCTGAGGTCTACAAGCACGGAGATCCCCAACTGATGATCACCTGACTGCGCTCTTCCAAGAGATGTGGCGTCAAGGTGAAGTCCCGCAAGATTTCAAAGACGCAACCATCGTACATCTCTACAAGCGCAAAGGGAATCGCCAAGTCTGCGACAATCACCGCGGCATCTCCCTGCTGAACATCGCCGGGAAGATCTTCGCCCGCATCCTTCACAACCGCCTCAATTGGCCTTCTGCCGGAAAGCCAATGCGGCTTCCGTCGTCATCGTGGGACCACGGATATGATCTTTGCCGCCCGTCAACTTCAGGAGAAGTGCCAGGAGATGCGGACCCACCTGTACTCTACCTTCGTGGACCTGAGGAAAGCCTTCGACACGGTGAATCATGAAGGATTGTGGAAGATCATGCAGAAATTCGGCTGTCCGGAGCGATTTACTCAGATGGTGCGTCAGCTGCACGACGGTATGATGGCGCGAGTCACGGACAACGGAGCTGTCTCAGAGGCATTCGCAGTGACTAACGGAGTGAAGCAGGGCTGCGTACTGGCGCCTACCCTCTTCAGTCTTATGTTCTCTGCCATGCTGATGGACGCCTACCGCGACGAACGCCCAGGGATCCGCATCGCCTACAGGACGGACAGTCACCTCCTAAATCAACGGCGGATTCACTTTTAGTCGCGCGTATCCACAACCACCGTCCACGAACTTCTCTTCGCCGACGACTGCGCCCTGAACACCACCTCGGAAGAGGGGATGCAACGGAGCATGGACCTGTTCTCCGCCGCCTGCGAGAACTTCGGTCTGGTCATTAACACGCAGAAGACGGTGGTGATGCACCATCCGCCACCCAACTCAGCCACAGCCCCCAACGCTTCGCCGCAAATCAGCGTCAACGGAACCCAACTGCAGGTGGTGGAGAACTTCCCGTACCTGGGCAGCACTCTCTCTCGCAACACCAAGATCGACGACGAAGTCGCCAACAGGATCTCGAAAGCCTATTTGGCCACATGCGTATCCACGACGACCTGCGGTAGACAACCGCCGGTCACACCACAAATTCACTCACTCCCTACCTCCTCCACCACCACCATCATCACACCAGAAATCAACACTCACACACCTCATGCACCCAACTGCCACCTCCCACGCAAGTGGGAAGTCCGCATCTCGACTCGGTCCCCATGCGGCTTCGGCTGCAGGGGTGACTTGAGTCCGAGACTATCCCGACACGTCAAGCGTCGTGGATAGGAAGGTTGCTGATTGACGCCCGCTCTCGGTTCACGCAGTTCGTTGCGTTGTGTGTGTGTGTGTGTGTTGTGTGGAGTGGCGGACTGGTGGGCTGGGGACGGGCTGAAACAGCACCTTCCACGGCACTCTCACGCAAGTGAGAGACACGCCGTTCAACCCCCGTTGTGTGAAATCCTGGTGTTGTGTGTATGGGGGGCCAGGTCGTGCCGTGGCGCGCGCAGTCATGGTCAGTCGACCATGACAGCCACCGCGCCCATTCCCCACTCCAGTCTGCTGACCGGCTTGGACAGCGGCTGGGGTGTGGGAGTGGGAAGTGAGAGTGAGGTCGACGACTCAGCGCACTTTCTCCTCACTATAAACAATCTGACGCGCTTGAAGCTATCACGGTGCGCTAAAGGCCGTGGCTTGGAAGGTTGCCAACTGACGGGGTACCTTGAACCTCCTCCTTAACGGGAGGCGGTCTGAGAGTCAGGCTGCAATGGCTCCTTTTTAATGTGGCCTTTATGGCACTCCCATCACAGAGTGGGATCCGAGCCAGGCGTTGGCGGCACGCCCAGGTGCGGCTTCGGCCGTGCCAGCCTCCAAATCTCTGTTGTTGGTTGAAATCCTGGTTATTTGTTGTGTGGACCAGGGGGTGTGGTGGAACGCCTAGGTGAGGATCCGTCCGAGCCATCCACCTGCGGCCTCCCTCGTCTCCGGTCTTCTTGACTCTGTCTTGACACCGGGCTCGGTCGAGGGAGGAGGAGAGAGTGTAGGTAGATGCTACGCAAGTCTACCGGCACTATAAACCCCTGCGTAAGTCACCGTCCCTGCTCCCATTGCTGCTGCAACTGTGGGGCACACGGTGGACATCATCGAATTCGATGGTCGAACTGTCATCGGAATGCGCGCCCTGACAAATGCCAATAGTCGGTCTGGCTCACGTCATGGAGACATACAGTAAAGAGGAGAAACCGAACGTCGGGAAGCGGGTGTTCAGATTGAATTGCCGTGTTGCTCTAGAAATGTTTTAATATGGACCTAGGTTGGCCGACAGTACTAGTAATACGTTCACCGTAAAAGATATGTTTAAGGAAACCAAAACAATTGTTCGTTGCCGGGTCTTTGTTTGAGTCACTGTTCAAGGAACTCAAACAGCGCCTAAGCATACACACTAACGAGACTGGCTTAGTTGCCGGTCTGCATTCGGAAGGCCTAGCAATCAAAAAATGGCTTAAATGGCAACTTCCATGTCAGCTGTAGTCTTCAGCAGAGGTTTTAGACTTTTAGATTTCCTGCAGGATTTTCGGTTGAATGTGAACCTGTCTCCTTGTTTCGCTGGCAGTCTCCCTAATTCGGAAATAAATTCCGTCTAACTCTTAGGATAAGTTGCCATTTCATGTAGAAAGTTGCAACAATTGCCTCGGGGATCAATCATGCGAGGAAACCTGCTTTTCTGCAGGTGGTGACGCACACTTTGAAAGTAAACTGGGCCGGATGAATGAAGACCAGGAGAGCACATGTAGGGGACAGATTTCTACTTTCCAACGTGATAAATGTTTGCGACGGTAATTTGGATGTAACAACGCACCTATGCATTTTTATACTTAAACACGTTTAATGTTTCATAGCCAAGCAGGAAAGGGTGAATGTCTACTAATGACGGTAGCAGAAGAGCCCTACAGATTGGCATTTCAATTTTCTGGATCTCAGGACACTGTAGTAAGCCTTTTGACCCAAACTGACTTCGATATTCGGGGGGGGGGGAGGGCTGGGCGATTTCGTCTTTTTTCTCCATTATTTTGAGAACCGTTCATGGAAGGCAGTACTCGTCCTCAGGCCGCGAAATGTTTGTCCGTTGAAAACGGACACGCTTTTGAATATGTTGTCAGAATTTTATTGCCTGTTTTAACAGTGCCAGGGACATAAAAAGCTGAATTTGTCCCAAAAGCGCCTTGCGTTTAGTGCCTGGATCGTCCGGTCTCAGGTACAATGCGTATTGTGGCGCGTCAACACATTCAATTCACAAGGGCGCATTCCTTCGAGGGTTTCAGTGCGATATTTCAAATATTTCAAGCTATCCAGGAAGTGCTGTCAAGTCTAAATTCGCAATACTTTTCAAGGCATTTATGGCGCCTAAGGTCTATAGGCTCAAACAAAAATTTGATGTATGAATATTTGGGCCGAAATCCATCAGCCACGGCACGATAACTTCGTAATAATAACTAACTGCGACAGGCAGCTGGCAGTATATAGGACAACAAGATGCCATATACTACTAGCTGCCTTTCGGCAGTTAATGAATATTACAAAGTTATCCCGTCGTGGCTGATTGACTTCGACCAAATATTCACACATCAAATTCCGATCTGCACACATAGACTCTAGTATAAGCTTATCTGCTAAAAGCTCGTAGTTAATTTCTAAGGAAAATGAAAAGCAACGATTTCTAAACAGATGTATCTGCCAGAAAGCAGACAGAAGTCCTGGGGGACCCGCTGCTGAGCCGAACCCCTCGTAGCTGTGCCATGCGACGACGGCATAATATCGACGACACACGTGTCTGGACTTTTAGCTAGTACCTGTGCTGATAGTACGGCATCTTGTTACCCTAAAATTTACGGCACCTGTTGGCCAAAAGTTGAAATTTAGATTATAATACCAAACGGCTATGTCACTTTGGACCTCATTTAATAGGTATACTAAAGGAGGCTTTCTACCTCGGATTTAACGCACCTGAATGAATTCAATTCTCTAGATTTTGTACTATCCAGCTGACGCTGAATTGAATTCAACTTTTGCTGAGCTGGCTTTTAGTAGAGGAACACGCTGCTTGATGGACCAATTCCCAAAAGGGTTCTATGGAGGGACGTGGGTATTTACAGTAGGTGTGCTAACTCATGAAATGTATACCGCAATTCTGAAATGCGTTTTTTGACTCGAAAAAAAATTCACTTAAGTAGCGTTGTAATATTAATAACCATGCAGCATAATCCCGTGATAGTTCAGTTACTTCAGGATGACGCCCTTTAGTGAACTTCTTTCCGACCGCCTGCAAAAACTACACTCTGTAAACACGACTACTTATGTAGTGTGCATTTTTCTCATCGATTTTCGAAGCCCTTATGAATTCAGACATATTTCAAAGAAAACATGTATAAAAATATTGATTCTTTTACTTATTTTGTAGAAATTAACGTCATACTCAAACTTTGTACCTGAATAAAAGGCGTTATTCGGTCTGAAAGTACTCTTTCAATTCCCGAATACAGTAGGCGTGCCAACTGATGAAATGCTTGCCAGAATTCTGAAATGGGTTTCCGACTCGAAAACACAACTTAAGTAGGGTTGATATATTAATCACCATGCAGCAAAATCTCATTATAATTCAGTTACTTCAGGATGCCGGCTTTTAAATGAACTTATTTCTGGCCGTCTGCCAAATCTACGTTTTTCAAAGAATGGCTACTTATGTAGCATGAACTTTTCTCATTGACTTTCCATGTCTCTGTAAATTCAAAAATGTCTAATAGAAAACATACATAAGAACTCACCCTTCGACTCATTTTGTGGAAAATTACGTCTTCTGCAAACTTTATGCTTGAGAGAAGGGTATAATTCGGTTTTTAAAGAGTATCTTACAGTGAAATTTCTTCAGACCCTGAGATGCCCGTTCATAAATCATGTGTCACTGCACTTACCAATGTTGCTCGTAAAGTTTACAACATGGCTCAAATTCACTGTCAAATTTCACGAACCTCACATAGTCTTCGGCAACGGTATGGAGAAGGACCCCATCTAACTGACGGCAGACTGTGGATCGTGTCATACGTGATTGGCGATAAGGGAAGGTTTATGGGTGGGGCGGTACACTAGACAGAAGGCTGACTAAATGCAGGAAAGCACAGATATTGTTTGGATTTCTCCTGGAAGACTTGTCGTACGCTTTCATAAGGCAACGGAAATGAGCGCGGCAATACGAAATAAACAAAAAGGTTATTTCAAAAATAAAGGAGTTTGATTGATGGTTTGGAGTCATGGCAAGTAATTGTTATTAACAGTTTAATGTCTGCAGAGGCCTGCGAAGGGATGCCAAGATAAAAGCCCATATGACGTGATCCGCAGTCTGCCGTCAGTTAAGTGGGGTTTTTCTCCACACCGTTGCTTAGCCCTCTCGTAATGCCGTAGAAAAAGTATGGCATTTCATACACGGAAAATAAACAGCCTGCAGTTTGAAAACCCGGAATGCAAGTGTAATGACAGGCCGAGTAAAAAATATTCGGGAATTCGAGGAGTTTCTTAAAACCGGAATATACCCTGCCCTCAAGTATAAAATTGAAAGAAGAGGTTGATATCTGCCAAAATTGCAAAAGAATGAATATTTTTATGCATGGTGTTTATGAGATATATTTGAATTTATAAGAGTATCAAAATCAACGAGAAAAATTCGTGCTCATTAAGCGGCAATTCTTTTCAGATTGTAGTTCTAGTGGGTAGCCATACAGAAGCCGGCATCCTAAAGTAACAAAATTATTATGGGATTATGTTGCATGGTGATTAATATTACAACTCCACCTAAGTAGTCTTTTCGAGTCGAAAACGCATTTCAGGATTTCGATTAACATTTCATGAGTTAGTACATCTGCTGTAGAATAGAAATGTTAAGGCTTGTTCTTGTTTAGCCTAATATTAAGTCAGAGTTTTACAATGGAGAAATGGTACTTTTTCAGTGTGGGCTCTTATTTAGACAAGTGATCATCTCCGACAGTTTCCTCGCCTCATTAAATATAAGAGCATTTTCTGCTGAAATAAGCCTAAACTAACGCCAATTCCATTTAATTTGACCTGGCTTTCGTGGACGGATGGTGGACCTCCAGGAGCCGCTCAATTACCGTTAAAAGCAAATTCTCTACGGATTTTAACCAAATAGCTAAAAATATCTAGTTCAGTCTTTCGTGCTTCCGATTTTTTGAATTCTCTCAAAACGACTATTTGGCTTTTAGGCATAAATAACAACATAAAAGAGGATTGGCCATATCGTGCACACATAATTGGGTGATTCCTGGGAGTGAATCCCTTTTGAAACTTCCACTGAACGGTGTTGAACGAGGTCTCTCTAGGCGTACGTCAACGAACTACGCAAAGTCAAGTAAGATGCTATCTCATAAGGTCAGTTTAAATCTCAAAGTAGACTGAGCCTTTGTCATACTGCGTGTAAACTTCATGCTTAAAAACGCAGAGAAATCGACGAGCTGCGCTACACGGCGAGCATTTAATGAATCCCCAGTTTATTTTCGAAAAAAAACAATAGAGGCTCTATTGACAGGTAAACAGACAGCAGTTCGGTTTGATAGACAGCCATGGTGGCGGGGTGCAAGAATGCGTCTTCGTTGATGGCCTCTTCTCGATACCAACGGAACTTCTTCCTCGGACTGTTTTCGAGTCGAATGGGACCAACGACGAATTATAACTCCATAGGCAGTAGCGGAGCGCCAAGGCCAACGCGTGGCCTTCGGCCTTCCCACAGGTGCCTCGCTGCGTGCTGACGTGGAAGTACATGGTGTAGTTTCGTTGCTGACGCATTAACCATCACCAGACAGAACATAGTCTTTGGATTCTGCAGCCCAGACCGTGCATTCGCGCTGAGAAGCCATATTGAAAAAAGTGGGACCAATCTCGAATGGCTAGAGTTGTTAACCCAAGATGCCGTAAAACCGCATTTCCGGATCACGAACTTCCTTTTTTTAATCTGTCACTAAAGCCGACAGAATAAGGACAAAGTTTTGGTAGTAGGCAGTTTGTAAGACTAAGATTTATCTTCGTATTATCATGCGCATGCATCTAATTGCAGCTGATTTAAATAGGTTGCGAAACCTAAACAGAGTCTTTCTTGTTGACTCAACTCTAACTTCCCTGTTTGTCTGAGGTATCTTTCTGAGAATTAGGGGTTGTTGACTTTAGATAAATAAGAAGCGGTGAGTGTGATTTCAAAGAACGATAGGACTATGCCCATGATCAGCACAGGCGTAATCACTTCATCCTTCTACAAAATGTCCATACAGATTTAAAACTGTTGGTCATGTACAATACTTACTTATTATTATATACCAACCGATAAAAAACTTTAACTGTATCGCAGGCGTCCATGCCGGAGGTTTTAATTTTGACCCTCAAACCAATCGCGTGTAAAGTTAAGGAGTAAGGTATTCAACGAAAAGAGAAAGGTTAAATGAAATACACTCAGTAATTGGTGAAATTATTGGTTGTTTCTTCACCCATTGTTGCTGAAGTAAAAGTAAAATGGGTGAGAACTATCCACGTCTGACGTAGACTTTGGGCTACATTTGAACGCACTTTGCCCTTCTAGCCAGAGATTCCAAAGACCTTTCGCTCAATCGAACTCGTAGCATTATTGCAGCTGCCATAGAACGCAAGACATATGCATAGTGAATAAAGCATTTAAGTATGACCGATAGTAGAATAACTGTCGAAAAGAGTCCATCTTAAGAATACACATTAAAATGAAACTACCAAGCATCGGCTCTTGTGACAGCTAATTGTTCATTTGACCCGGGTGTCAAAAGCCAGGCGGCTTTGATCGACTTACAATACACTTTAGCAAGAACAAGACTCAAGTATAGTCAATGTTCTAACCACTTCAATCACAAAACTCCATCGGGAATTCGTGATTTTAATAATATTTGGACCAAGTTACTCGCCCAGCCTACTGCAACATATGGGATCCATCAATTCTGATAAAGCAAGCTGACTTTCCAAGTAATATTTCTTGAATAGTTAAATGGTTTTGTTCTGTTATATCTTGCGCATAATTTCCGAACGGTCTCTGTGTGGTAATGATTTTAATCGCTGAAAATCATTCCGTTCATGTTTGAGTATCATCTTATCTTCTCTTGAAAGACGGCTGTTATTTAAATGCTGGTTGGCGGGTTCGGACCGTCGGCTGATGAGGTGGGGTCGGTACTGAGGAAATCGTCCTCACGGCGAGAGATGAACCTTTTACGATGCGCTGTCAGCCATGACTTGGAAGGCCTCCATCTGACGGTGTAACTCGGGCATGCTCAAGATTAGGAGTCAGGCGGAAATGGTCCATTCTTGATGTATCCTCTATGGTAAACTCACGTTCTTCCCGAGATCCCCCAATCTAAGCCTGATACGCGTGGATCTAGGACTAAGGTTGTTTTCAGCACCCGTAGACAGGCTGTCCAGCTTCGCCAGTCACTGGACCAACATCAAGGCCTAAAGGCTATCGTGCGCGGTCTACTCTCGTATTGTATGAAGTTCTAGGTGAGTTACGGTTCTGAACAAAATTCTAACTCTTATTTTAACTGATGTTTCCATTTGAGATATTATTCATTCGCCCTTTAGTGAAAAATTGCCTTTAAATGCCGATTGCTTCCCCGCAACCACTTAAGCAAGCAACCTTTTCCGGCAATCGAACTGTGGTAGGTCATTGCTGAGCACCCAGTACCTGGTCTCCCTCCAAAACAAAGTGCTGATTCGCATACTTGTGGTTTTTCTAGTCATGTGACTCCCACCTGATAAACTACATTTATTTCCATGACCTTGAATGTTTATAGACATTTGAGATTAAAAAAACTGAGCAGTCTATGACTTATACACCAGGCGATCTGGTTAAACTTGCCTATGTGTAGCTCATAGCTTAACAATGGACGGCTTGCAGGGGGCCGTCCTTCCTCTTACTACTGACCCGCTAACGGAACTGCGAAAACCAACTTTTAGAAAATATATTCCCGACTTACCTAACGCAAAACAATTTATCTTCCAAATGAAAAAAGACAATTCACGTGTCGACGTGACCGTCTTGCCTCTATACGGTAAATAAGGGACCCACAAATCGACTTCAAAGGTAACGAATTCCCCTTGAAAAAGCTGTAAGCCTTCCGGACGATTCTGTGTGATTTTATGATGAGTTCATTTCGGGTGCTAAAGAAAAACAATTGCAAAAAGGGCGCATAATGTTAGTTAGACTGAAACTGCGAAGTAGAACACTTGCACTGACAAGGGCCGTAAAGGTCCGTCTCGGGAATTGTATTCCCGCGAATACGTTGCAACATTCAATACCGGCCAGTTCCTCCTATTGGCTGAGAGTTACAGTGGCCGTGAGATTGGAGTAGGTGCCCCAAATGGCTGATGCATCAACAAGATGGGTGCAGGAACCACCCGAGAGTGAAAATCACACCCTGGCAGATGGGTAATATGGTCCTTAGTCGATCACTACGAGAATAAGTTGAAGCAGTTTCATTTAAGCCCTAGCAAAGGCAGCAGGCGCAAGAACGTGAGAGTACAGTAGACGGAGTTTCCAGACACAACGGCATCTACTGGTTTAGCGAACGGTGGCTCAACTATCAAAGGCAATGTGTTAGAAGGAATATCAATGTTTATTCAGTCTATACAAACATGTAGGTGAGACTTCACACCTTTTAACAGCCTTTTTGGTTGTGCTCAAAACAAAGTCATCGGGTAAATAAAAAGACAATACATATCACATTGCCGGATAGGAAAGAAAGTAATGAAAAAATATGGTAACTGAAAAAAAGGGTGAAACGGCGCAGGGAGGGAGGGGGGGAGGGGAAGCGTGAGAAGGAAGCTGACCGTACAACCTGGAGTAGAGTAGTGCCAGTCCTAGTCTTCACGTAGAATCGAAAGCCGGGAAAGGGCAAAACTGAGGCGCAGGCGCTCAATCATGGTCATTCCGAGGTCCGAACGCAGGTGGGCATAAAAACTCTCCGGTGCGACAATCCTCTGACGAGCCAGCTCCCACAGCAGACAGCCGTCCAAACCGTCGAGGGCCTTGGTGAAATTGGAGAGATCGCACTCTGTGAGCCAATTGGCCACCTTCTCCGCAGACCAGCTGCAGATGAAGGTGGGCGGGAGGCTCTCCTGGGGGTAGCTCTCAATGATGGAACTGTTGGGTGACTTGCACATTGAGCCTGCCTCCAAGAAAGCGTGCCTGGCGGACTCCGTAGATGAGGTGAGTCCCGTGGGTTTTGACAAACAATGGCCGTTGGGGGACTTAATGGGTGTGACGTTCATGTCAAAGGCGTGAGGTGTTGGGCTACCAAAAAAGACGCCTGAACTGTTGGTGGTATTCGGAGTGAGCGTAGGCTGTTCACACAAACTCCGGGACTCTATGGGAGCCACGCGATTTGAATTGTCGAGAGAATCAAAACTTGTGTGTGATTGATCTAAAGTGAGGAAAATAATGATATCAGTAACATCTGCAAGTTAAAGGTAAAATATGCGGGCAAGGGAAAAATAAGGACAGGAGGCCAGACAGAACAAAAGTACACCTCGGGAGAACCGACCGGCATCGACAACTCAGCACTCAGAACCACACGCTTCATTTCGTCAAAAAAGCATAGAGGAGGTGAAGTATGCAATAGTTTAGAATCAATATCATTAAAATCATCAGGCTTAGGCTGCCACTTCAAATCTACTCACTGACCACAGACGACGCCTTCGAGGATTTTCGGCGAACAAACTAACCTTTGTCCAAGAAGTCTGAGTTAAGGAGACGTGAGCCCGTTCCTGCTTCGAATATAAGGTATTGAGTTACTGGCTTGGCTTTAGGGAGAAGGTTGCGACGTTCGACTTCAGAGACAGAGCGTAAGATTTTAGCCAATATAAAGTCTACAGATAAGTGGTATTCGTCGAAGAGGGTGGACATGCTCTGAGCGTGAGCAGGTTATGCCCCATTTGTGCATAGAATGATTTTCTTGCATATTCCTTAGCGGAGGCGCAGTTTGCCCCTGATCGCATGAAATTTACCTACCACAATTTAGCCTAAAAGTGAAGGCTTGTATCATACCCGGTCGACTGCTTCGTGTTGCTGTCACCGACAGTAGAGGATAACGCAAAGTTTACAACTCGAACTGAACAGTCTCAGCCGCCTGTAGGTGTCTCTGATCTCGCCGCGGAGTTCAGCAGGCTAGGGTTCCAGTACGAGGCTACAATTGAAGGCGTCCTGCTTCACGAGTATGAAACGTTGTTTCGACTTACTGTTGACTTGAGCACAACCGAAGTATTTGAGTGGTGGTGAATTCAGGGAACAATGCGTCCTCGGCATACGGACATATCTGTGACGTTATGCCGGTGTTGTAATAAAAGGAGGTCGTCTGGAGTGGTTTTATAATGTACTTCTTCGACTCAAAACGTGGTTCTCCCCGAACGTCAACACTTCACCACCGAGGTGGTGGCCAAACAAAAATCTGGAGAGGATGCTGAGCCTCGAAGTCTTCAGTGTTCATAAATGGAACATCAACTGGATAACGATCGCCGGGAGATAGCCGTTAGTCGCAGGGCATACGCCGCGCTGGTTCGTGTGCCATAAGCGCTGTAATTAGCTCAGGAACTGGCGCGTTATAAAGTGAACATCGCTACACTCGGTGAGATCCGGTTCTCCGAACAAGGCCGACTGGAGGTGGGTGCCGACTACACCTTCTTCTGGAGCGGTCGCTCCAGAACAAAGCGACGGGACGCGGGCGTCGCCTTTGCCATCCGGAATGACATCGTGGGACGACTGTCCCGTCTGCCGCAGGTTGCCAACGATCGCCTGATGAGCCTCCGTCTGCCTCTCCTGGAAAGCAAATTCGCCATCATCGCCAGTTTCTAGGTTCCGCCGATGACCAGCCCCAACGAGGTGAAGAAGAAATCCTACGAGGACCTGCACGCCCTCCTGGCGTCTGTGCCGAAGGCGGATAGGCTGATTGTCCTTGATGACTTCAACGCCCGCGTTGGTGCAGACCATGCTGCTCAGACAGGAATGCTGGGTCCCCATGGTCTCGATGGTTTCAATGACAATGGCCTGCTCGTCCTTCGAACCTGCGCAGAATACCGGCTCACCCTGACCAACACCTTCTTCCGCCTCCCGATGAGAGAGGGAGTCACCTGGATGTACCCTTATTCGCGACATTGGCACCAGCTGAACTATGTCCTCGCCTGGAAGCTAGACCAGCGGGACGTGCTGGTGACAAAGACGATTCCGGGCGGACCGACCATCGCCTCGTCATCTCCAAGATGAGGATTCGCCTACAGACAAGCAGGAGACCTCGAGGTAAGCGACCCCAAAGTAAGTTGAATATCGCCTTTTTGTCTTTGCCTGCTCATCATGTCCACTTCAGCACCCAGCTAGCTCAACAGCTAGACAGCCTTCCAGTCGCTGCCGCTGCCTCCGTCGCTGACGAAAACGCCTCCGTGGAGAACCAATGGTGTCAACTGCGAGACACAGTCCGGACAACGGCGCTGACCGTCCTCGGTCGCGCGCGCCATCAACAGCAGGACTGGTTCGATGACAACGACGAGGCCATCAGCAATCCGTTCGTCGAGAACCGCCTGCACGAAGCCTACGTCACCCAACCCTCCGACGACAACAAAGTAGCCTTCTACCTTAGTCGCCGCCTTATGCAACAGTGGCTGCAGGAGATGTGGACGCTTGGACGGCTCGCTAGGCCGAAGGGATCCAAGGGTACGCGGAGCGCAACGAACAGAAGAATTTCTTCTCCGAGATCAAGGCTGTCCACGGTCCGCCAACCAAAGGAACTGCTCTTCTCAGCGCCGACGGAAATACTCTACTCACCGAGAAGACACAAACAATGCAGCGATGGGCCGAGCACTTCAGAGGCGTCCTCAACCGTCCCTCGGCCATCTCCGACGCGCCACCGCTCATCTGCCTCAAGTGGAGACCAACGCCAATCTCGACCTCCCGTCCTCTCTCCACGAAACCATCAGGGCCGTGAAGCAGCTCTCCAGTGGGGAAGCGCGCGGATCGGACGCGATCTCTGTTGAGATCTACAAGCATGTTGGCCCCTGTTGTAGCTAGGACACTAGCAGGCACACGAGATAGAGACGAACAAATACGGGTGCAAGAGTCAGAACGAGCACACTCTATAACAAGGCCTTATTCATCTTACAATTGACGTACTGGGGCTAAAACGAGAAACAGAAAAGTAGTAGATAAGACGGAATTTAGCCAGGGGCTTATGTTGGCATGACAGCATCCAAACCATGGATCATCCGACAGAGCTCTTCCAGGCGGTGTGGCGTCAACGAGAAGTCCCGCAGGATTTCATGGACGCCACAATCGTCCATTAACATAAGCGGAAAGGTAACCGCCAGCACTGCGACAACCATCGCGGCATCTCCTTACCAAACACTGCCGGGAAAATCTTCGCTCGCATCCCTCTCAACCGCCTGAACAACCATCTGCAGCAAGATTTTCTGCCGGAAAGCCCTGCGGCTTCCGCCGTCATCGTGGGACCGCCAACATGATCTTCGTCGCCCGACAACTGCAGATGAAGTGTCAGGAGGCGCGGACCCGCCTGTACTCTACCTTGGTTGATCTGACGAAAGCCTTCGACACGGTGGATCGTGAAGGACTGGAAAATCATGCAGAAATTCAGCTTTCCGGAGCGATTCTTTCGGATGGTGCGTCAGCTGCACAATGGTATGATGGTGCGAGTCACGGACGACGGAGCTGTCTCAGAGACATTCGCAGTGACCAAGGAGTGAAGCAGGGCTGCGTCCTCGCGCCTAGTCTCTTCAGTCTCATGTTCTCTGCCGTGCTGATGGGCGCCTATCGTAACGAACGTCCCGAGATCCGGGCCGCCTACAGGACGGAAGGCCACCTCCTCAACCAAAGGCGAATGTATTTCCAGTCGCGTGTATCCACAACCACTGCCCACGAGCTTTTTTTCGCTGATGACCGCGTCCTCGATGCAACTACTGAAGGAGGCATGCAAAGGAGCATGCATCTCTTCTCCGCCGCCTGCGAGAACTTCGGCCTGATCATTAACATGCACCAACCGCCACTTAAACTCAGAACGAAAATGAAAATGTGCACGGCCGTCATTCTACCGACGTTGCTGTATGGATCGGAGGCCTGGGCCACGTACAAGAAGCGGCGACTCAATCATTTCCATCTAAGCTGTCTTCGGCGGAGACTGAAGCTGAGGTGGCAGGACCGGATCCTGGACACGGGTGTACTGGAGCGAACGGGAATCCCCATCATCCACACCATGCCGAGACAGCTGCAACTGCGCTGGAGCGGCCACCTACTGTGGATGGAAGACGAGCGGCTGCAGATCAGCCCGGTCAACTGGGAAGACCTTGCCCGTGCACCGACCTACGTACAGAAGGACAGTGAAGACGATTTACGAAGCCAACCGCATCATCGCTGCCAAAGCCAAAAGTGAGGCTCGCAAATCTCAACTGCGCCCACCTCGCAACGCCAACGCTCAACCGTCCCCGACATGCCCACGATTTCAACCCGACCGCATTCCTAAACCCCCACTGCCATCCTCCTCCTCCATCGCCTCAACATCCGCTGCGGCGGCTCCTGTACCCATCACCACTGCACACAATCCTGACACACCAACGAATATCAACATCCTCACCGTCAATGCCAGCGATGTGGACTCGATCCATACCTGTCCTGATTGCGATCGCAACTTCACCCCACACATCGGCCAGGTCGGTCAGTTGCGAATCCATCGCACAGAGACAGGCGAGCCAATGCCTGGAGCACCAAACCACACTCATCGCATTCGGTTCCACCGTCCACACTGTCACTGCACATTCACTCACCGCATGGGTCTATTCGATCAAATACGTATCCACGAGAGCGGAATTGACCGCAGTCTCGACACATCTAGCACCTCTTGCACACCCACTATGCCTAGCTTAGCCCACACCCTGCCGCCCAGCACACCCACAACCATGATCCCCAACACACTCAGCACATCCTGCACACGCACCACGCCTAATTGAACACACATCCCGTCACTCAGCGCGTTCACCATCAGTAGCCCCACCTCTGCCACCATCTCCGAAACCGACACTGATACCGTCGGCTCTTCCTATCTACAAGGTCCCGGTACATTCATCTCACACATTGGCCTGGTCGGTCACTTGAGAATCGATTGCACAGAGACTGGCGAACCCGTGCCTGGAGCACCCACATACACTCGCCGCATCTGCCTCAACTGCCCTCACTGCACATGCACATTCACCCATCGCATGAGCCTATTAGGCGACATGCGCATCCACAAAAACATGCGGTAGACAACCGCCGGATACCCCACACCATCACTAACCCCCCACCAACACATGTATCACGCAACATCATAATCCACCACAAGCATCCAACTGTTACCTCCCACCCAAGAGGGAAGTGTGCGTCCCAGCTCCGTCTCCGTGCGGCTCAACTGCTGCATGTGTGATTCGAGTCTGAGTCTACCACGGCGAGCCAAGCGCCGTGCCTTGGAAGGCTGCTGACTGACGCCCCAAATCAGCTCACGCAGTCTGTCCGGTTGCGTGTGTCTATTTGGAGTGGCCGACTGGTGGGCCGACAGCCAGGCTGAAACGGCCCCTCCCCAACGTGACCTACGGCACTCTCACGCATGTGAGATATACACCGCTCAACCCGCGTTGTGTGGAATCTTGGTGCTTGTGTTTGGGAAACCAGGTCGTGCATGTGGCGCGCGCAGACAAGATCACTAGATATGTCAGCCACCGCGCCCATTTTCCGCACCTGTCAACTGACCGGCTTGGATTGTGACTGGAGCTTGGAAATAAGAAAGGAGAGTGAGATCGACGACTCGGCACATTTTTCTCACTATAAACAATCTGACACGCTTGATGCACTCACGGTGCGCTAAAAGCCGTGGCTTGGAAGGTTAATAACTGACGAGATAACTGGGATCTCGCAGTCGGCCCAGTGTTCTGTGTTTGTGTGGAGCGGCCGACTGATGTTCTAGGAGTCAGGCTGCAATGGCTCCTTCTTAATGTGGCCTTTATGGCACTCCCACTCTATGGGATCCGAACCAGGCGTGACGGCGCGCCTAGGTGCGACTACGGGGGCGCCATCCCCTTTTGCTATTGTTGGTTACAATTTTGGTCATTTGCGGTGTGGACCGGAGGGTGTGGAGTGGTGCGCCCAGGGGCGGGCTCGACTATGCCATCCACCTGCGTCCTCGCTCACCTCCGGTGTTCTCGACTATGTATTGACACCGGGTCCAGGTGGGGGAGAGGGAGAGAGTACGGCAGATGCTACGCAAGTCAACTATCACTATAAACTTAATCACGCGCAAGTCACCGTGCCTGCTCTACCTTGCTGTGGAGCACACGGTGGACATCGTCAGCAACGATAGTCGGACTATCCCACTATGGGTACTGCCTTTCAGTCGATGACTGAATAGTTACCCAGTCTTTGAATGATGATGGCCCAGGCCAAATGTAGGGCTGTACTCTACCCTCGTGGGCTTTAAGGACCGTGCGCGTATCTTATGCTATGCTTCGGCAAACTATGGCCCTCGCAGCCTGGTGTGCGCTGACTGTTCTCTGGCACCAGATTCTCCGCCGGTGAATGTATCTGCGCTCCCGCTGGGTATACACGCCGTATGCATGGTAGCCCACTGACTTGTGTCATGCTCCTCTTTCTGACCCATTTTTGTTGTTGGTTAAAATCCTGGTCAGGTGTCTGTTGTAGACCATAAGTGATGATTGGTACTTCTAGGTGCGGGTCCGACTTTACCAGCTACCTAGTCATCCCCGGCCTTTGGTCTCCTTGATTATGTCTTGGCACCGAACTCAGGTGGGGGAGAAGAGGGTGCGGTAGAGGCTGCGCAAGTCTACTGCCACTATAAACTAATTCCAGCGGGCGTTATCGGGAATTCCCATACATAACAAATACTAACATTTGGGAGTGGCGGCAGGCCCAGTTGCCAATTCATGTTGCGCCAATCTGTTGTGGTATTAAATCCTGGTCAGTGTCTTCTGTGGACCAGAGGGTGTGGTGGTATACCTAGGTGCCGGCATACGCCGTGCCAGCCATCTATACCTTCTTTCGCCCCCAGTCCTCTTGACTTTTTCTTGACATCGGGCCTATTTGGGGGAAGAAAGAGTGTGGTAGAGGCTGCGCAAGTCTACTATCACTTTAATTTAATACACGCGCACTTCATCGTACCTGCTTCCACCCTACTGTAAAGCACACGGTGGACATCGTCGGGATCGACGGTCGAACTGTCGGAGTGGTAACTAGTTACTTGGTCTAAGAACCAACACGACAGGCAGCAGTGGCAAGAAGAAGCAGGTAGTGGCAGTTCATCTACGGCATGTCACAGTATGATCAGGCTTTGCGGCTCTTTATCAGACAGTCAGCATCAAACCTCAGACTTGAGACCAGAAACTGGGTTCGGACAATGTAAAAGTGTTACCGCTTCTGACTGAAACTGTCAAATGGACGAAGTTGGCTTAATGACTAGTTCGACCGTCGTGCTCGACGATGTCCATCGTGTGCTCCACAGTGAAGTGAGTGCAGGCACGGTGACTTGCGCGTGACTTCTTTTATAGTTGTCGCTTAATCACGGTTAGCAACAACCGCATAGTTTATGCATTATACCGTATAACAAGGACGTCACTCCTATATGGCGAGGAAATGAAATAAACATGCAAACGAGAGAGTTCGGAGTTTTGTAGCCAGTGTTTAGTAGCT